CCAGTCTTGGGAAACTAGGAAGAGAAGAAACTATTTTTCCTTATTCCATTTCCAGATATCTTGACAAAAGAGAGAAGGGTTTTCTCACTGTCATGTCACACTGGTTGACAGAGAAGAGATTTACTGAACATTTGAAAAATTAATTCAATCATTACTTACATGAATTGCACGCAGAATATTTTCCTCATCTTTATTGTTGTTAACACAAAATTTCGGCCGTTGAGTTCTCCGACCTTTATCAGGTGCATGTCAATTTGGTTAACCTAGAAGGAATTATGAAGTGAATCCTTTAATTTACGTGTTTAAACTCTTCTCGTTTCACTTCCCATGTCTAGGGATATCTCGTCTAGTTCGTATTTTAGTGCTGCTCAATTATTGCTCACCCTGTTTCTACTAAGTCCAAGTATACACTGCTAGACCCTGGGATTGAACTCACGCTTATTATATCACCATGTTCACAAACCAACACTTTAATCGATTAATACTATTAAAGCTGATATTACATAAAGTTTTCATTTAGGAATTCCCTGTAGAGTACCCTGATGAAGGACAGAGGATTAAAAGTACCGAAACGTTGTAATTAAAGAAACAGAGATGAAGACAATTCTTTGCATGTAAATAGTGTAAATTATACCTGTTCATCCCAGAAATAAATACAAAAATCAATCAATGACATCGACCATGAATATTCAAATATCTCGCCGTATCGATCAGTTATAATAACTTAAGTACAGGATTAAAAGAAATTGAACATTGAATAGGGTCTGCCAGATGTAGTTTCAGTTAACAGTCAAAATTGGTACAAAATGGAGAAACAACCTTGAAACTCGTGTCATGGATCTTACTAAAACTGTTCAATAATATCGATATTGTCAGCTGTATACAATCGCTTTTAAGATCAATGATTTAATGATCAATATCTTTGCTCGAGTGAATCCTGGGGGTCTTGGAAAAGACCATACTAAATTGGACGTTGTAGACTGGCGCTACAGAATCCCAACCAAAGAACTGTGCCAAACAGCAGAAACCACATCAGTTGAGGAGTGCCAAATAGGAGGAACAACTAAAATTTTTAGCAAATGTAAACTGAAGAGAAAATAATGACATAATCAAGATGTTGAACATTCCACACTACTTTAAACAAAAGGTTAGGAAGGAAACCTCCATCAATAATGGAAAGAGTGATAACAGCTACTGGGCTTGAGAAGAGAAAATAATGACATAATCAAGATTGTTACATTCCACACTACTTCAAATAAAAGGTTAGGAAGGTAACCTCCATCAATAATGGAAAGAGTGATAACAGCTACTGGGCTTGAGAAGAGAAAATAATGACATAATCAAGATGTTGACATTCCACACTACTATAAATAAAAGGTTAGGAAGGAAACCTCAATCAATAATGGAAAGAGTGATAACAGCTACTGGGCTTGAGAAGAGAAAATAATGACATAATCAAGATGTTGACATTCCACACTACTTGATATAAAAGGGAGCATCCCGATGCGGTGTAGTGGTTAGCAAGCTTGTCTCGCTAGCACAATTACGAATGAGTAGTGAGTTCGATCCTCACTGGGTGTCCCATACTTTCGGCCTTGTGCCACATCTAAGCTACGCTTGGAAAATCGCTACTTGACATAAAAGGTTAGAAAGGAACAAAAGGTACTGGGAGAAACGATAACATCCACCTGGAGATAAGAAACCGATTTCCCTGAAAAACTGTATTCAGAGAAAGCAATACTGGCTGCTTGACCAGTGAATACCAAATGTTTCCTTGTAGGGAAAATTAACATTGTGGCCAAACATCAGCAGCAGGAGGCTGTTACCCCCTTAATAAACATTGACAGAGTCCATTCACATACCGTGATTTTTTTCAGTTGTGTTATGTTAAAACTCTCAAACGCATCACTAAATTTGCGAAGAACATATTTTAAAATTAACAACGCAATCGACATGTCTAATGCTGAAGACAATGATGATGATTGCAGTGACGTCATTTTTGGCGCCATAACGGTCACGATGACAAGATTTCTGCAAAAGAAAAGGTGATGGCATTAATATTATGGCGTACTCAACTTACACTTCAATAGTGTCGTCATTGGTAAGGTATCCGTAGCGGATGGGGTTAGGGTAAAATCGAAGACAGTTATGTTTCTTTCTCTGGTCATATCGATGATTATTATGATGTTGACGAAGAGAAAACTGCCAACATCCCCATCGCTAAGGTACAGGATAAGCGTTAAGATGGCGGTGATTGTCCCGGAAGTTGACAATACAAATAACGCAGAATGAGAGAGAAACAAGAAATCCAATTTCTCACCAATCCATCTCTCTCATTGTCCCTCAAGTTCTGTAGCTCTTTACATCATTCTTATTTTTCCTGGGTCATCTAAAGTCTTTCTTCTTCTTCTTCTTCTTCTTCTTCTTCTTCTTCTTCTTCTTCTTCTTCTTCTTCTTCTTCTTCTTCGTCCTGCTTCCCAAAAATTCTACCGTTCCAATGCCTCTTCTTCTTAATCTGCAAACTCGATTTTGGTCTCGCTTTTCTGTCTCGTTCTATCTTTCAGTGGATCTCTCTATCTAATTTTCATTTGCTGCCTTTCTCTTGATCTCATAATCTCGCTCGCTCTCTCTCTCTCTCTTTCTCGCACTCTATCTCTCTTTCATTTCTTTCTTCTTCGTTCTTTCTCCCCTTCATGTGTCTCAATTGCTTACTGTTTCTTTCTCCAAACATTCGTCTCATTCGCTTTTGCTTTCTTCTCCCTTCCTCGTCATCTTTTTCTTCTTTTTCCTTTATCTTTCTTTTCACTTTATCTTTTCCTCCCCACCTCTCTCCCCTCCCATTTCTCTTGCTTTCTCTTTCTGGACCTCTGTCTCCCTAACTCTCATTCTAGTTTTCTCCTCATCTCCTTTATCAGTTTTCTCCCACTCATTCGCTTTATTCATTCCTGTTCCAGTCTAACTCTCCTTTTCTCACTCTAGTTTTCTCAGTTTTACATCGCTCGTGCTTTTCCAATTCTTTTTCTGTCTGTTTTTTCTTCATTTGTTTACACAAGTCTCTCTCTTTTACCTTTCCTCCTTCTCCCACTCGCTTTTATCCTCTCTGCCTTCCCCCTTTTACTTTTACACCCTTGCTTTCTACGAATCATTTTATCCCACTCTCGTTTCTAAACTTCTCATCGGCATTTTTTCAAAGGCATTCTCTTTGGCATCCTTACTCTCTATAATTCTTTCTTTCTTTCTTTCTTTCTTTCTTTCTTTCTTTCTTTCTTTCTTTCTTTCTTTCGTTCGTTCGTTCTTTCTTTCTTTCTTTCTTTCCAGCTTTCTTTCTTTCCAGCTTTCTTTCCTTCCTTCTTTCTTTCTTTCTCTTTTTTCTTTCTTTCTTTCTTTGACATGTTTGTCTTACTTTTTCTTTTTCCCTTCCCTTTTTCAACCACTCGCTCCTTTGTCCCTCTTTTGTTTTCTCCATTTTCTCCCGCGTCAATCTTTTCTTCATTTTCTTTCTCACTCGGCCTTTTCTCTTTTTTCACTCCATTTCTTTTCCGTAAACTTTTTTGTCTTATGCTTTTATTCTTTTGTTTCTTCTTCCTCAAGGCTTCATCTCCCCTCTCTCACACACACTCTCTTTCTCTCTATTCTCCTTCTCTGTTCTTTGTACCTATCTCTTTCCCTTTCTCTTCCTCCCACTCTCTCCCTCCATCCCTCTCCCCTCCATGTCTCTCTCCTTCTCGCTCTTTCTCTCTATCCTCCTTCCATGTTCTTTGTACCTATCTCTCTCCTTTTCTCTCTCTCTCTCTCTCGTCATTCCTGCTTTCTCTGTTCTTCGAACGAGCATTTTTCTCTTTCAGCAGAGAGGCATTTTTCTCCGTTTCCTTTACTTGATTTCTTCTTTCTCTTTCTCTCACCTTCATCTTCCTTTTCTAATTCTTGTTTCTCTCTCTCTCTCTCACTCACTCTCATTGTCTTCTCCCACTGTCTTCTCTTTTGCAGATCTCATAGGCAGTTTTGTTGTCTTTCTAATAATGAACGAACGCCATTCTGCAGACAATGGTTATAATGGAACTAAGTGGAATTGACATTGGCATTATTGATTTTGGTTGTCTGTTCTTTACAGTTTGGGGGCTTCTTATATTGGTGATGGTGGTGGCGGCGGTGGGGGTGCTGCATTTCCTGTAGCGAATATGCTGCTGTTATTCTTGTTGTTGTAAACCTTGCTGTTGATGCTTGCAGCATGGGCAGGCGGGCGGCGGGGTGTTTAGAGAGAGAACGCTATTGGCGTGCTAATTTCAAGGCTTCCTTTCTTTTCTTTTTTTTACTTGGATTTATTCTCATTTCTTTTTTTTCTTTTTTTATCCAGGTTTTCCATCGAAAAGGACTTGAAAAAAGAAAGAAAGAAAGAAAGAAAGAAAGAAAGAAAGAAAGAAAGAAAATCAGTGGAAAGATTAGGAAGGAAGGAAGGAAGGAAGGAAGGAAGGAAGGAAGGAAGGAAATCAGTGGAAAGAAAGAAAAGAAAGAAAGAAAGAAAGAAAGAAAGAAAGAAAGAAAATCAGTGAAAAGATTAAAAAGAAAGAAAGAATGAATGAACGGAAATCAGTGAAAACATTAGAAAGAAAGAAAGAAAGAAAGAAAGAAAGAAAGAAAGAAAGAAAGAAAGAGTTATTGATTCGAGAGATATGAAGAAAAATGTGTGCGAATGTTTTGGAAAGAAACAAAGAAACAAGCACACAAAGAAACAAAGAAAAGTTATAAGCTGAGATATCTTAAGAAAAAAAGAAAGAAAGAATGAAAGAATAGAAAAAAGAATAGAAAAGAAAAAGAGAAAAGAAAGAAAGTGTAACTGTGTAAGATGAGAGATATAAAGAAGAAAAAGAAAGGGCGAATTGCGAAGGATTAGACTGATTAACTGATTTGTTTTTTACGGTTTATCAACACTTTGCAAGTTATTTAAAGTCAGAAAATATTTTACAGATATCAATGATTTACAAATTTTGAAGAATTTTTCCAACATAATGATTAATCTTTAAAAGTCAAACTAATTAGCTCATATCTGGGAAGAAAGGTGTGGGTCCATACGTTTCCCAAGAATATTTATGCGGAACTGAATATAATGAACCTAACTGGAATTGAAACTCGGATCTCCGATTTTCAATTTCGAGCTCGTATCCGTTACACCGCTCGCACATGCAGCACCTAGTATTTCCAAGCGGTCACCCATCTAGGTACTAACCAGGATCGACGTTGCTTAACTTCACTGACCGTACAGGAACCGGTGTTCTATCGTGATATGGCTGTAAATCCGAGAAGGGATTATAAGAAAAGGAAGGAAGGAAGGAAGGAAGGAAGGAAGGAAGGAAGGAAGGAAGGAAAGAAGGAAGGAAGGAAGGAAAAAAGAAGGAAGGAAGGAAGGAAGGAAGGAAGGAAGGAAGGAAGGAAGGAAGGAAGGAAGGAAGGAAGGAAGGAAAAAAGAAAGAAATTATGAAAAACTACATAAAGGAATAAAATATCAAATATTAAAAGAAAAAGAAAAGTCGAAATAAATAAAAAAGAAAGGAAAAAAAACAAAAGAAAAGAGAAAGAAAGAAAGAAAGAAAGAAAGAAAGAAAGAAAGAAAGAGAGAAAGAAAGAAATATGAAAAAATCCACAAAGGTATACAATATTAACAATGAAAAGAAAAAAAAAGAAATCCAAAATAACTATAAAAGAAAGAAAGAAAGAAAGAAAGAGTAAAAGAATTAATAAAGCAAAAACTAAGAGAAATAGAGGGAACAAAGAAAAAAGAGATTGAAACTATGGAAGTGAAGAAAGGAATCAAGGAAGGCCTAAAAGTTATGAAGAATGAAGAGAAAGAATCAAAACTAATAACGCGCAAAATACAGACGACTTGGCTTGAATAGATTAACTTTCAAGAATAAAAAGACACAATTTAGACGGCATAAACTGGGATAGAACGAAACTAAAATGAAAAAAAATATGAAAAGTAAATCATTTTTAAAAAAATAGGCCAAAAAGAAAAGAATTCAAATCCTGATTAGTACATAAAAGCGCATCTAATGATCATTATGGCACTCTTTATTCTGAGGCATGTCTACGATATTATTTATCCAATTCTATTTCTTTCTTTTTTTTTTCGTCCATTTCAAGAGCGAGGATCACACGAGGTAGAACGTTACAGATTAAGAGCCATAGCTTATGCGAATATGTGCGGAAGATAACGGTTAAACTTAGGCTTAAACAGATTGTAGTGATCGAGGAAGCAACCTCTTGGGAGTCGGTTCCACAAGGAAGTAATTCGTGAGAAGCTGTTTGAGTGGAACTTGCATCAGACCAATGGAATACGAAGGGAGTGAGGCTGGTTTACTACAATGGGCGTGGCATGGCGAGCATTAGCCATGAAATTTAACACTGAGAACTAAGGACTGCAGTTCCTGTGAACATTCTCCATGGAAATAGCAATAGAGCAGCTCGCGACCTCCCGTCCGGGTTGCAGAGTGGAAAACAATTCGTCGTTCACGCTTTTGTATTCTATCGAGAATGGAGAGTGAAGACTGGACAGCTCCTGCCCACTATATGGCCGCAGTACCCCCATTTTCGTCCCGATCTAGCTCTTGTACGGCTAGATAATAGCAGCAGGGGTGAGGTACTTTTTGAACCGATAAAGGGAACAACCCATTTTGCCAGCATTGTTATTGATGGATCGTATGTACGAGTTTCACTTGACGTCTGGGTTGGGTTTAAGACCCAAAAGGCGCTCAAGGTACGGGGCCTTCCTTAAGGAACTCTTATCGCAATCGGTTATACGTCCTATGACGGAGGGTCACTAGTTTGGTCTTTGAGGTATTGAATGTCAGCAGCCAGTTTTCCCCTACTTCTGTAGGTCAGAGGAGAAATCAACTGCTTATTGGACAGACAGACTGTGTCTTGGAAGCGATCATAAAGGAAAAACCCTTTCATTTAATCGGTATTTACAAAAAGACTGTGCGGTGGTATGCATGATGTTTAGTCTTGTTCAACGGTGCAAATTTTTGCATGCTTTGCCTAAGAAGCCAATTCTCTTTGTAGTAATGCGAGTACGTTGCATTACAACAATAATCCCTATGTGATTTTGTGTTTATTATTCATGATGCGAATAGTGACGCGAATGAAGTTCACAACGATTTCTCTCGTCTTCCAGTCATCTCGTTGTTTGCTTTAAATATCAACTTAAAGTTTAGAATAGAAAGAAAGAAAGAAAGAAAGAGAGAGAGAGACGGGAAAATGATAGGACACTTCATCGAAAAATTGGCTCAACATAGAACGATTGTTTCATATTAAACTGCATCTTAAATCGAGTTGTTAGGTATTTTGCACTTTTGAGAAAAACCTCGTCACTCCAGCCCGGGTTAAAATATAATAGTATTCTTTTTTATTTTTCATTAAGCGAGATCTACTTAGCTATGGAATATATGCTAATTGGTCTATTTTTACCCTTTAAGCAGTCGGCATTTCCGTTTGTCAATTTCACCCCCTTCCCCTATTAGACATCAAAAGCCAAAGTTCTCCTCTTCTTCTGAAGTATTTTTCATCTTTTCTCAGCTTTATTTCTCCTTTAGTTCGCATTATTTTTCGACTGGTTAACTTCATTTTTCTACCATTTTAAACATTGAACTTGTTTTATTCCCTTACTTGTAAATATAGGCGGTAGTTAAAATTTCCATAGACAGCAATTTGGAGAATGTTGCATACAAGATTTGATATAAATGTACAGCAACTGAGAAATAGTAATGGCGTCTATTTGGTCCAGCGAATGTGATTGGCTAACATAATGAAGAGAGAGAACAACGCCACCCACATTCCCTAATGGTTTCATATCACATTATATATAGTTATAAAATATAATTTTCTATTTAACTAAACAGTCGTCAGCTTGCGACGCAACAAACAATTACACTTAGTCAAATAAATACATAGCATAAATTTAAATCACGTAAATTTTTGCTCCTTTAAAAATTTATATTTCAAGAAAATAATCTTTTCTCTATATTTCTGAGATAAGTTAATGTGAGTATTTACAATGTTCGGGCTGTTGTCCTCATCTTTATCGCAATTTTCACGACATTTCAGCCGTTGTACGCTCCGAACTTCTTCAGGTGATATACGTTGTAATTTCGAACCGAACCCTTTATTTAGTCCACATGAGCTACAAGATAAAGATAGGTATATAAACAACCACCTTTAGAGAAGAGTAGAGATTTTATCCAGACATCGTAGCTGAGAATGTAAGGGCAACATTTAATGCCGGAATTTTATTCTCTTGTAAACTTTGGTATCTTTTTCCAAAAATGTATTAATGGTAATTTTTTCTAATGTATTTTTATATTTTCATGTCTTGGCCCCACAGACAGATATATAGAGAGACATAGACATAAAGGCCGGAGCGTACATCGGCCGAAACGTTGTGAATATGGCAATGAAGAGGAGGATAACAGACCGAATAATGTAAATAATGCAAGTAATCATAATACCTCATCTCAGAGATATAGACAGATATATAGAGAGACATAGACATAAAGGCCGGAGCGTACATCGGCCTAAATGTTGTGAATATGGCAATGAAGATGAGGATAACAGTCCGAATAATGTAAATAATGCAAGTAATCATAATACCTCATCTCAGAGATATAGACAGATATATAGAGAGACATAGACATAAAGGCCGGAGCGTACAACGGCCGAAACGTTGTGAATATGGCAATGAAGAGGAGGATAACAGACCGAATAATGTAAATAATGCAAGTAATCATAATACCTCATCTCAGTGATATAGACAGACATCTTTTACTTTACTCACATTTTCCATCCTCTGACGTAATGAATAAATAAATTTTCCATTCCCAGACGTCATTAAAAAATAAATGAATTTCACTGAGTTTAACTTTTATCTTGCTTTCATTTACAACTGTTACTTCGTATGATATTTTATCCACGAAATGTAGAATCTCTTATAAAATAGAGGTAGTAATTTTTGTTTTTAAATATTTTTTTTTCTCTGGGGAAACATATTTAAGACTCGTCTATTGAAAGAGCTATCATCGACATTTGACAATAAGGCGACCTCTTGTATGTCATTCTTTTTGTTAGATTCATCTATCCTAGCCTACCTTTCTGTAAATTTCAGCAATGCCGGACTTGACCTTCTGCTAGTGATGGTGGATATCATCTTTAACCCTGTTTGAATGGTGTAGATGCCAAAACGTCTTTTCCTGCGTCGGCTATTTGAAATTACTGACATACTGCGATGTGAGGGGAAACGGTGACCAAAATGGCGGCAAAGCACAGATTGATCATCAACGCAGTTTTTGGGTGCGGCGGGAAATCGAGGAAGGTCGGAGAACAAAGATGATCCAAAAAGAGGAAGAAAAAAGAGTCAGGTGTGCAAAGAAAAAAGAGAAAGGATAGTTGAAGGAAAGAGTTAATTAGATACGCGACAAAAAGAGAAAAAAACTAAAAGGAAATTAAAAGAATAAAGAAAACATATGAATAAGTATAACTAATAATAACAATTTGATTGATATGTTTTCTACGTCTTATCAAAGCTTTCCAGGTTATTTAAAGCCAGAAAATATAAATAGATTGTAAGAATTTATTTTATATAATAATTATTTAATGATAAAAGCACCTGGTATTTGTAAGCGTTTACCCATGGTGCCTCCTGTGAGTGTTTAATTCTCCAAGCTTCCTTTCTCCATTAAATACAGATTTCAGCTAATGAAATTAATAGATTTCGCTTTTTGTTTCACCGTAGATTGATTTGTTGTTACGGCTTATCAACCCTTTTCAAGTTATTTAAAGCCAGAGAATATTTTAGAATTTATTTTCGATAATAATTATTTAATGATACAAATCTTACTAATTAACCCATAGTTGGGGGTAGAAGAGGTGGATTTATACCTAATCAGAATTTGATAAAGAAGACATAAATTATAATGTGGATATGAAATGGGGGATCAATTCTCTATTACAAAAAATATATAAACTGTTCCCCCACTTTCTGGCCATGGTATTTTCTATACATTTATATTGCAGAGAATGTAAATAAATCTAAAAGCCCTGCCTGTGTAGCTAATCAATATTTCATTGATTGAGTCGTTTTCTACGGATTATCAACCTTTTGCGGGTTATTTAAAAACAAGAAAATATTTTTAGATTGTAAACAATTTTGAGATTTATTGAGACAAGTCTTACTATTTAACCCACAGCTGGGGGAAGAAACAGTGGATTCTTATCTTTCCCAAAGGTATTTGCGCCTCAGTGAATATAACGAACCCAACGGGAATTGGAACTCACCGATTAACAATTCCGAGCCATTATCAATCACACCACCCGCACATCCAAGCTGGCATTACCAAGCAGTTATTCATCTAGGTACTAACTAAGCCTGACGTTGCTTAACTTCGATGATCATACGTAAACTGGGATTTCAACGTGATGTGACCGTAAGCAATAATAATAATAACAATGAAGAGAAACAGATACAGTGGGGGGAAATAAATATTCGTACACTTGAAAAATTGTATTTTTATAAATGTAAAAACCTTAAATAAAACAAATCTCGGCACGTTTTATGTATAAAGACACATACGATTAAAAAATAATAATAAACTTAATTAATTCTGTTGGAGCTGTTTTTCGGCAAAGGTGTTGGCAGAATATCAATAATAGATGGCAAGACGAATGCCGAAAGCTACCAGAAAATAATGCAAGACAATTTGTTGTTGTCATTAGTTCAGACGTACATGAATAGACTGGTAGCTGTTGAACTCAATAAAGTATATTACACAAAGTATTAAATTAAGTTAAAACGTTTTTTTTTGTTTTGTACGAATACTTTTTTCATCAGTTAAAATGAAAAAATGCATTAATTTCTGTTATGATAAATAATATATTAAGTTTATTACTATTTTTTAATAAAATGTATCTTTACACATAAAATGGTTATCAAATTTGTTTTACTTAAGGCTTTTACATTTATAAAAATACAATTTTTCATGTGTACGAATATTTATTCCCCCCCCCGTATATAGCCAATAAGACAGAGGATTTACATGTGCTATTAAATTTAATTATTGCTTCTGTTAGTTTATCCATAAGTGATGTGTTTTCTGTTATTTGATGTAATATAGCATTAGTAAGTAAGAAGTTCAAACACGACTACCAGTGTCATAATTTAATAACTGAAATTGCAAAATGCACCGTAGGTTCTATGCTAACCTTTTCTTCTCAAGCAATTCTCGCTTGTAGAACTCTTTTAAAATATGTAAATCGTTATCTACTGTCTTCTGAATTCTTGTTCTTTTATTATTCTCCCTCCTTAGTAAGGTTTTTCTTTTCTCATATTCTTCCAAACTCAATAATCCTCTTGAATCTTGGGGGCTTTATTTCCTTGCTTTGGGTGAAATTATAAAAGATTTTGCCCGATCTTAATAAAAAAAAAAAAAAGTGACATAATTTAAAAGTCAATAAGAGATAAAAAAAAAAAAATACTAAACCTGAAGCGGGAATCTACAATACAGACTGCAAAACATCTCACAAAATACATAGTAATATAAATAGAAGATAGTATAAAGGTTTAAATGGATTTGTTACAAAACAAGGCTCTCGAGGAATTCTTTTTTCATTGCAAATGATCTAACCATAATTTCTATTTTTTTGAAAATATATTGAAGGTGGACTAATTTCCCAATCATATACAGTCCAACCTTGGTTCTCGAACGTCTCACATGTCGAACAAATCGGATTTTAAACAGAATATTCGAGATGAAAATGTCTCGCTTATCAAACATATTTTCGGCTCTCGAACAACATTACCGATCTCAGCCGAATCGAGTTAAAACGAACGGAATTATTCTTTAGTCCACCGTCTTGTCGTGTCTTGTATTGTGCTTTTCTTTCCCATTTTTATTGTGCTGTACCTTTTTTTTTCTCTTCATTAGTCCTTAGTCATGGCTCCAAAGAAAGCTAGTAGTGATTCGAGATGAAAATGCTTCGGTTGTCGAACAAACTTTCGGTTCTCGAGCAACATTGTCGAACCGAGTCGAACCGTGTTAACCCGAACGAAATCATTTCTGAGTCGTTGTATGCATTGGTGTGCTGTTAACCGAGTTCCACTGTATTTACGTCCAGACTCATAGACCATTCCTCATAAAATAATATATATATATGACAATTTTTCTCTCCAGAATCTATCTTACATATCTATAAATCTACCATTGGTCCATATTTATAATATTGCTGACATGTGTAAAGCTATATATATATATATATATATATATATATATATATATATATATATATATATATATATATATATATATTAAAAATTAAAAGAAAATTGGTAACTCATGACTTTTAATAATAATAATAATGATAATAACAATAAATAGCAGTTATAGCCAGCCGGTCGCCCAGAAAAAAGTATTCAATTAAAATGGATCAAAACAGCATCATGTTTAGATGTAAGAGTCTGTCTTCTTCAATTACTTTAAAGGACTTTCATTAAAAATATTTTGAATTAATACAGTTACTGATATAACAGAAGTAGTCTGTATTTATTCAATAGAAGTTCACCTAACTTCGATTGAATAAATACAGACTACTTCTGTTATATCAGTAACTGCTTTAATGAACATGAAGGGATAAAACACATAACATGAAGACCCACTTCAGACCACAATTATTTTGGAGTTTTTGAAATTCAATTTGTCAGTGTACTATCACAGATGTAAAACGTAATGTATTTATAAAGCAATTGATGAAAAATTGGTTGAAAGATCAACGAAAAACAAGAAAAAAAAAGTAAAAATCCCCATTTTTCGCTATTTACGCGGGTTTTCACGATATGAGTGGACTCAATTATCAAGTTAAATGACTGTTAAACAATCAATTTATTGTTGGGTACAATTGAGTAAAATTTGTATTAGATTGCTTGAAAATTGAGGGAGTTTTTAAAAATTTGTGTTGAAATCGATTTTACGTTTTTCGCAGTAGCGTAGAAATAAAAATGATGCATCACTGAGTTCGCCATGATCTAAGTAGCCTAGATACCGAGTCTGAACGAAATCGAAGGTAAAAAGTTGAAGTTATCGATTTTTGATCGGCTTTATCGATTATTGATTTTTAAAAACCGATTTTTTATGCTAAGAACCTGTCTTTTACATTGTACAATGTATGCACCAAGTTTTGTCAAAATCGATTGGATGAATCTCGAGCGAAAAAGTATCACACAGATAGACGGACACACAGACATCCTCTGTTTTATATATATGGGTACTAATAATGAACATCAATATTTTTTTTATTATTCTTTAATTTCCTAATTGTTTTTTTAATGATACTTTTTTCTGTATATAGAGATATATTTTCTTTTTATGTGCCATGTCCTTTCAGGACGTAGGCGATCATGACTCTCCACCTCCCTCTATCCCTTGCAGCTCTCAACAAGTTCCTTCTCTCTGCTTTCTTCTCCAGACCACGTTCTGTCATCCAAGTCCGCCAGGTCTGTCACGCGTTGTTTTCTCTTGTTTCTCGTTCCCTCTATTCGACCCGTGAGTAGCAGATTCTCCAGGCCCTCCTTCCTCATTATGGGTCCTAGAAACTTCAACTACCTCTTCCTGATATTAAGTATAAGCCTCCTCCTTGTTTGCAACCTCTCTAAGACTCCATCGTTGCTCACACGCTCAGCCCATGATATCCTTAGAATCTTTTTGTAGAATCACATCTTCGTCGGCTCTTCTTCATCTTTGAGGAAATCGTCCAACATTCACAGCCGTAAAGAAGGACAGATGTCACGTATTATTTTCTTTGCTACCCAAAAAATCCTGCTTTATCGCAATCCTCTGCTCAGCTTTTGAAATGTGTACTTGGCCATCAAATTATGTCTACGTATGTCAGTGTTGCACTTACCGTCCTCTGTCAAGACGCTTCCCAGATATTTAAACTTCCGCGTCTGCTTGATTCTATTGTTCCCGACCTGTATTTCTCGATTAAGCTTTCCACAATTGCTTTGGATGAATTTCCTCAAGAAACGAATCGTGTCAGCATAAAAGGTTTTCCTCTTGTCGTTTCTTTTACTAATCGCTACAGTCTTAACCTATTCAAGGCTCGGTTTAATCGTTATCTCCCCCCCCCGCCACTGTACACACAAATGGCCCTCTAACGTAACCCTCTACGTCATGTAGTCCCCGTTCCTTGTAAAGAGTGACGCTCATTGTAAATATATATATATATATATATATATATATATATTCGATCAAAAAATCCGATAATATGCCTGAACAAGTTCCATCTATAAACGAAACCTGTCACTATACAGTTTTCCTTTTTATCGTAACTGTACCTGCAAACTTTTAATCGGTCATTTAAATCCTTAATTCAGTCAGGAGTTCACTTCTGAACCGACTGTTCGGTTGAACACTCTGCCTTCGGGCGGGGAGGAACCCGAAGGA